AGAGAGAGAAAGAACAAATTCCAGGGATCTTCCTCAATGGCCCTTTCACCTTAGTTTTTTAAAATGTAAAGTCTTTAAATTGAACTCAGAGCTAGCCAGGTTGCTCAGTGATTCCAGCTCCATCTTCCTAGGCTAGAAGGCATGCCACCAAGCCCACCCACATTTTATGTGTATTTGGGTGATCTGTTCTCTGATCCTTATGTCTGTATAGTAAGGGCATTAACTGCTAAGCCATCTCTCCGGTCTCCCTTACAGTATTTTTTAAGTGACATTAGAGGAAATCTCTTCTGGAGTATGTCAGATTCCTAAAAATGTGAAGATAACTGAGGGTGGACATAGAAACTCTTAAAAACAAAACTATGCCAGACATGGTGGCGCACACTTTTAATCCCTGCATTCAGGAGGTAGAAGCAGGTGGATCTCTGTGAGATTGAGGCCAGCCTGGTCTACATAGTGAGTTCCAGTCCAGCTAGGACTACAGAGAGACCATCTCTCAAAAAACAAACAAATAAAAAACAAACTCTGTGCTTGTGTGTGTTAATTCCACACTATTTATTGTAGATAGCTAAGTTCCCCAAACAAGACAAATGGCAAATAGTTATAAATCCACACACAGCTGCTCTCCAGCTACCTTGCTACACTCTTGGCCTTTATATTTATAAAATTATTTCTCCAGCACAGATGTGGAGAAGTGGGGAAGAAACTGCAACCCTACCTGATGGATCTACTGGTGACTAGTAACTATTGGAAAGTGGGGATTCAGTATTATTTAAGAGTGAGACACTTAGTAAATTGACCTGGCTCCAGTAGATGAACCACACTGAAGGACTTTTGAGGTCACTAAAAGAATTAAAGAATTTTGTCAGAATTTAGAAAAGGGAGTACAGATATGGGGGAAGATCTGAATATAATCACAGTATATTGTATGGAATTTGAAGAAATTCAATTAAAATATTAATTTAAAAAATTTAAATGTTTTCTGTTCAGAAGTTTAGGGCAAAATTGTCCTGTCATCTCCCACAATTTACTAATGGTTAGCTTTCTTTGGAATGAACTTTGAAACTAATGTCCTGGTTATTGGAAATCTGTATACTCCTTCATTCATTTAGCATTTTTTTTCCTGAGACATTGAGGCTTTATTGTACCCTTAATGCTTAAAGGCAGTAGAAGAAGCATCACCACATAAACGCTGTCTGTAGTGGGTGCAGGACAGTCAATAAACGTCTTTGTCTTCTTTCACCTGTGTTTTCTAATTATTTCATAAAGCTCTATTTGATTAAGCAGAGATTACTGATAACCATTCAATGGACGATAATAGAATCAGCCTAGTATATATTGGCAGATTTTTGTTTTTTTAAGATGGGGGATATACTGTTATTCTGGAAAATGAGTCTCAGAGAAAGAAAACGATTTTTCCATTGACAAAACAATGAATTCAGTATATAACTATAAAAAAGCATGGGTTGTATAATGGCATGCAATTTTTGAAGGTTAAATATATAGTCTTCCCTTTCTAGTGTTTATAAAGCAGTGCAAGATTTGTACTTATTTGATATTTCTCCATTTAAAATTTTGTATATCTCTTACTTTGGAGACAATGGAAGCAGGAAGCTGTGAGGTTACATCCTGGCTCCTGCCCTGTTCTCCTAAAGGGCATGATGTGATGAGGGGGCCTGTACCCAGGGAGTGGGAGTACATACTGGGAAAGCATGCAAGCCATCTTCTGTGCAT